ACATTGACTACAACTGTGTGCCAAGTGTTGTGTACACACATCCCGAAGTTGCGTGGGTTGGCAAATCCGAGGAGCAGCTGAAGCAAGAGGGTGTTGAATACAAAGTTGGCAAATTCCCATTCTTGGCTAACTCGCGAGCAAAGACCAATAACGAAACAGACGGTTTTGTCAAAGTGTTGGCGGATAAGGCTACCGATCGCGTTTTGGGCACACACATCATTGGACCCGTAAGTAGATTTTTATAAAATTATGTGAGTTTGAAACTATAATGTATGATATTGCTATTTTTTAAACAGAGCGCCGGCGAACTGATCAACGAAGCCGTTTTAGCGATGGAATACGGAGCCGCATCTGAAGACGTTGCTCGTGTCTGCCATGCTCATCCTGTATGACCTATAAATGGTTTATAAATATTGTAATATTTTGCTTACACATTTTCATTTACAGACATGCGCTGAAGCTCTCCGTGAAGCGAATGTTGCGGCCGCCTTCGGCAAACCCATCAATTTCTAATCACTATCAGCGCTAAGCTAGCGAAGCAATATTCACTTAACATTTCTTAGAAAACTCACTCTGCCTTCAATTTCGTTAAATTTAATTTATTATGTAATAGAAAGTCGCAAAAGTTATGATTTCTCTGCGCTGGAAGTCTATGCTCGAAGAATTTTACATCACCTAATTCCATCCTCTCAACTGTGCAGATTTGTGACGGTCATTTGCGAAATAGTCTTGGTCTCAATGAGTTTAGCTAATACTGATTCTTCAAACAATGAACATGTCTAATGATTGTAAAGAAATGTAAAATTTAACAAAATATGCGAAACCAGTTACGAAACTTAATGGTATTAGTATAGAAAAGAAAACATTTTAAAATAAAAATGGAAAACACTGCGATAATCCATTACTTGGTTTGTTTTATTTAATCTTGAGGTATGTAGAGAATTAATTTGGAATCGATACTGCCTAAATTTCAGAAAACTACCAATACCACTACATCAACAATGGCAATGATTTTTCTACTAAATAGGAAATGTATTTGCTTGGTGTATATCTCATATATTCACAAATTAATGTTTAGTAAATGTTTTTAAATTAAATATTAATGCTTTTTAAACAGTATATATTCTGCAAAAGAAATCTTAAAAAAAAATTAAAATTTACGTCAGGCTTTTTCGGTTTTTGTTTTTACACTGTTTTTCTTTGGCACACATAAATTCCTCAATTGTACATTATGTATGGAGTTGGCAACCAGAACTGTCAATGTAAAAAAATTGTCCAATTCAATTTTTCAGTTCAGATTTTTTTCTTTTGGCAAAATAATCCAATTTTATTTAACTAAAAGCATAAAACATTTTAAATATATATTGTATTTTTTTGTGTAACTTATAATGAATACTTTAAAGGCGTTGTCAAGTGTGGCCGTACGCGATGCACTGCGTGGAAGCAGTGTAACATTGCTGTTACAAAATCAGCCGCGAAAGGGCATATCCATGCGTCCAGTGCATAAAACCAAAGATACCATAGATGTACATAGTTATCTTGTTTGGAAAATAACAAAATATGTTATGTAAGAACTTTTATTGCAGAACTCTGAATATCCGCGAAAGGTCTTTTCTGGCATACAACCCACTGGTGCTTTGCATTTGGGCAATTATCTTGGTGCAGTACAAAATTGGACAAAGTTACAGAATGCCAAAGAGGATGTATCATTTTGCATTGTCGACATGCACTCATTAACAGTGCCACAAGTGAGTTGCTTAACACAATAAAAGTTAACCTTAATTTATATATGTTTGCTAAAATATCTACGATTTTTCTTCAATGTGTTAAAGGATCCTATCACTTTGCGTGAAAACATATTTCATATGGCTGCAGCAATGTTGGCATGCGGCATTGATCCCGAAAAGTCTACATTGTTTGTGCAATCAGCTGTGAAAGAACATGCAGAGCTGTCATGGATATTGGGCTGCATGACAACTATGGCACGTTTGGGTCATCTGCCCCAGTATAAGGAGAAGACACGAGCCGTAAAAGAGGTGCCATTGGGATTATTTGTTTATCCAGTATTACAGGCAGCGGATATCATGCTTTACAAGTATACTAATCTCCAATACACAATATTATTAAGTATGACATTAATATCTAATTTGCAGATCAACCCATGTGCCTGTTGGTGAGGACCAAATACAGCATATACAACTTACGCAACATTTAGCACGCACATTCAACACCAAATACGGCAATACGTTCCCGATTTGTCACGCTGTCATTAGTGATAAGAGTGCGGCGCGTATACGTTCCCTGCGTGATCCCAGCAAAAAGATGTCCAAATCCGATGTTGATCCAAAAGCGGTTATAAGTTTAACCGACGATGCCGACGTCATCATAGAAAAAGTCAAAAAGGCAGTCACAGATTTTTGTTCGGACGTGCACTATAGTCCTGAAACCCGTCAGGGTGTTAGTAATCTAATAAGCATACATTCACTGCTTTCCGGTAAGAGTGTGCAACAAATTTGCGATGAGGCCAAGAGCATAGATACCGGAAAATACAAAATGATTGTAGCCGAAGAGATTGTCGAACATCTGCGTCCCATACGTAATAAAATCAATCAACAGCTGTTGCGGCGCAACGAATTGGTGTATTTGCTGGAGATGGGTGCTGAGAAAGCGCGAGAAACCGCTGCTGCTACTTTAGCAGAAGTAAAGCAAAAGCTTGGCATGGGCGCCCTACCCAATATGCCAGCCATATTAGAACACAAGGAGGAGGTGAAAGTCATACCAAAAATTAAGAAGCCGGTAGTTGAGACGAAAAAGGTTGGCGACGTCGAGGTGCCACTAGTGCCGAAACAACAATTGCGCGTCGAGAAAAAGCAACAAATGCGTGTGGAAATCCAAACCAACACGGATATGGATTTAAATGTGCCACCGAAATTGGACATTAAAACAACAGCGCCGGCAAGCAAGCCAGTGGAAGCATCATTAGCGGTTACGACGAAAGCTTTGGTACCAAAGAAGGCAATGGATGCCAACGAAGTGAAGGGAGACAAGCAACAAAACGAGATCAAGATTTAGGTATTAATGTAGCAAATTCTTTAGTACCGTTAAGTTGTTCCACTGGCTGTGTGTGTGCGTGTGTATTTAGGAGTGTTTGATAGTATAAATTTTCTGTGCGTTAGGTTATTTTAGAGCGTTTATTTTATTTTCTGCTTATTTTTGTTTTGTACACTAAAAGGTAGCAAGCATAAATTTGCTACTTAAGCTTTAAGCTGACAAATAAAAAAAAAATGCAATTTTTTTCTAAACTTATTTTATAATTAAATTTTGATGCGGAAAATAAATTTGCGCTTTTGAAAAAAGTGTGTTTTATTGCAAAAAAAAAAAAAACAAAATTATAAAAAAACTCAATAAAAATATGATTTTTTTTTAATACAAATTTGGAGATGACAACACCTTTTTAACATTGCCCGATATAAAGCATCTGTGTCCTGATTTTGTTGTTGCTGTTGCACTCGCAAGAGATTGCACCCAAAACGACGTCCTCCTTGCATTGCACTTGCTGCAGTAGAGCGCACTCTCGCATGCACATTCCTATGTTATACTCGTTTCTCACCGAAAGCATTGAAGAAGAGCGTCAAAAATGCTCGCTTTTTGTGGCTACCTGTCCAATTATGTGGGCAGTAAAAGATTTGCCTAGTTCACGGAGTTATTCTTAAAGAGAGCAGGATGATGAATGCATCGAGTAAACAAGTTTTGGCCCTCTCTTTCTTTAATAATACAAATTCTCTTTACTTTAATGTTCAGTTGCGTGCTACACCCGGTCAAAATAACTTTAATGCGAGGAGTAAGTATTTTTTTACTTAGTGATTTCAAAAACCCGCAATAGAAAATATTTGTCAATTTTTTAATCACAAATTTTGGAATGACAAAAAAAAAAACTTTAGTCTTTAAAAATATATTTTTAATCTCATATACCCGAAGGGAAGATAATGACTTCCATTTTGGATAGAAAATAAAAATTTTATTAAAAAAAATAATAATTTATTGATTTTTTATTATTTTTTAATTGAAACATATAAACTTTTAGTCCCAATACCGGATAGAAAAAAAATTTATTCCAAAAACCCGAATGAAAATTAAAAAAGTATAATCCCAAAAAATTATTATTTAATCACAAATAAGGGAATGAAAAATCTCAAAAATTGGATTAAAAATTTATTTTTAATTAATGAATTTATTTTTATTAAATTTTTCTTGTTTTATTTAAGAGAACTTTGAATACTCACAACTTTACAAATTAAGCAACCAT